AACACCAAAATTAAAATTTTTTTTTCCTTTGAACTAGAATCTCATATGAAATATGTACACATTTACATCATAAATTTGTCAGATTTTCAAGAGGCACATAAATTCCCAAGAAAGATCTATCAACCCCCGATCTGTCACTTCATTTCTCCATTCATGAATATATTAATATATACACAAGAAATCATGTGTTAATGAAAAGCCTCGTGTCACACAAGGAATGAATATGTTAATTTTCAATCACATGTGTTGTAAACCACTGAAGGAAGCTATTCTCGATCTCCCTGCTCGTTCCATCGTCTTCAACTAAATTTAACAAATTCACGAATAAACTGTCATAGAAAACTCAGAATGAGACGTGCAACCATCCTTCAGTGGCCTTTGAGCAGCATTCAAGAAATCAAAAAATGTCTGAGCCTCAGGATTTGGTGCATCTTTCTGCTGCATTTGGCTCACATAATGATGTTTTATTCCATCAAAGATCATTTCTTCAGATTTGTTTGAGTCAAATCCAGGTGGAGGATCATAAGTCGTTGAAGGAGCGAAGCTAAAAATTGTAGGATCAACCTTCCATGTGAAGTCCAAATTGAGTAATCTAGCTGAAATCCCCGACGATATAGATCAAATTTCACTTTATCAAGAGTTAGGTGTGCTTGATTTCTGTGTTTCAAACATAGACACTGAAACCTACTCTCAGATAGGTAAACCGACAGTTGAGAAACAACTGACACAAATTTTTTGATGCCATTCAAAAATTCCTAAGTGATCCCTTCTCTATTCAGATAAAATCTGTTGTACATCCATAATCTCGATGTACGAATATCCATGTGTACTTTCAAGCATGAGATAAAAAACACATTATAAAATGCATTCAGTTGAATACATTTAATTATTTTAGTTAATCTACTGACCGATTTTTAACAAAAGGTGATGAAACCTGAGAATTTTAAATTAACATATTTTAAAAAAAGTAAACATTTTAGATAGCTTTAAAGTCAAAACATTAACAGCCTACTGAGGCTCTTAGAAGAGCTGTCGATGACCGATTATCGACGAACGTATATCCATATTTTCCTTTAAACTTGGTTGTTATTGTATATAAAACAACCCTTGTTGGGTAATGTGGAGACCCGGTCCACCGAAATTTAATTAGTTTCATAATTAAGAATCTCACCTACCGCTCACCTACTTTCCATCTACCGCTCACCTACCACATCCCACCTACCACATCCCACCTACCGCTCATCTACCTTCCACCTACTGCTCTCATGGTTTCTATAAATAGCCTCTTTTGGCTTAAAGGAGAAGCCAAGCCACAAGCCAAGCAAGGCCAAGCCAAGTCCTCTTTAGAGCTAAGAGAAAGAGAGGAAGAGAGAGAGAGAGAGAGAGGATGGGAGAGAAGAAAATAGAGATTTCCTGTAAACGTCGAGGCGCTCGACGGTGTAATTCCTTCAAGAAAAAAAATCCTCTGCAGTTCCGTGGACGTAGAAAAATTTGTCGAACCACGTAAATCAGTGTACCGCTTTGGTGTTTTTCTGCATGCAATTTTACTCGTTCCATTTTTTGCTTTATTGCCGTCGTTTTTCACAACAATTGGTATTAGAGCTTGGGTTTGAATCTAAAGATGAACGATGGGCAGAGACAAAGTGATGACATCGGGGATCAATAAGTTCAATGACATAGATTTTGCTTACTGGGGGATGCAGATAGAGGACTACCTCTGGGGGAAGAAACTTCATCTTTTGTTACTGAGAAAATGACCAGAAAAGATGGACGAGGCGGAATGGAATTTGTTGAATCGACAGGTTTTGGGGGTTATACGATTAACCCTGTCGAGATCAGTTGCCCACAACATCATCAAGGAGATGACTACTGTAAATCTCATGGCGACTTTATCAGGTATGTATGAAAAGCCATCGACGAATAACAATGTGCATCTGATGAAAAAGTTATTTAACTTGAAGATGGTGGAAGGTGTGTCTGTTGCTCAACACCTAAATGATTTCAACACTATCACAAATAAGTTGTTGTCTGTTGAAATTGATTTTGATGATGAGATACGTGCACTGATATTGTTGGTTTCACTGTCAAATAGTTGGGAAGCCATGAGAATGACAGTAGTTCTGCAGGTAAATCTAAGCTGAAATATGATGATATTAATGATTTGATTTTGGCTGAGGAGGTGAGCAGGAAGAGTTCTGGCAAGGCCTCGTGTTCAAGTTCGGCGCTGAATGTTGATTCTAGAGGGAGATCACTTGACAGGAACTCAAACAAAGGTAGATCAAAATCAGAGTCTGGTCAGCAGACAACTTGCAGGAATTGTGACAAGGCTGTCCACATAAAAAGGAATTGCAAGAATCTTAAGAAGAAGGAAAATGATGACACTAATGTTTTAATTGAAGAAATACAAGATGCACTATTTCTGGTAGTTCACAGTTATGTTAATGACTGGATACTGGATTCGTGGGCTTCCTTCTATACATCTTCCCGTCGGGAGTTAATGCGAAATTATGTTGCAGGTAAATTTGGGAAGATATATCTGGCTGATGGAAAAGCTCTAAACGTGGTGGGGATGAGAGACATTGATATTGCAATCCCTAACAAGAGCAAATAGACTTTGCAAATGGTCAGAAACATTCCTGAGTTGAAGAAAATCCTCATCTCTATTGGGCAGGTCAATAATTGTGGTTATTCGGTAGTATTCTCAGATAGCACCTGGAAGGTTACCAAAGGAGCATTAGTACTGGTTCGGGGTAAGAAAACTGACACACTATATATGACTACAGGTTTACTCAGGCGAGGACACATGAATCAGATGCATTATAATGAAGCAAAAGAAGGTCAATTTCCTGAAAAAGTGGTAGAGCGCCAAAGGCAAGAAAACTGCACCTTGTACAGAAAAATGGTGGAGAACCATGGAGTTATGAAGAAATCTTGCAAGATGATAATTCGAGCAAGTGGGAGTTGACGAAGAAGGAGGAGACGGATTCCCTTACAGGGAATCAAACTTGGGAGCTGGCAGAACATCTGCCAAGAAAGAAGGCATTGCACAACAAGTGGATGTACCGGGTGAAGACTGCGCTTGGTGGTAGTAAGAGGTATATGACTGGACTTGTTAAAAAGGGCTTTCAGCAAGGGTAGGATATTGCTTATGCAATGAGACTTATAAGCAGATACATGAGTAACCCAGGAAAGAGCTTGGTGGTACAAGGCTACGTTGACAATGATATGTCAACTGAGGGTGTTACTCATGAGAAGCTGAAGTTGTGCTCAACTTTAGCTTGTCTTCTGACATGAAGATAGGGGTTTCGAGTTGCAGCGGTGGAGGATATCATGTTTGAGGAAAAGATCAGTACAACTAGTAGATGATGTAGCAAATAGGTGATGCAGTCAGTGTCACAGTCTCCAAGTGGGAGAATTGTTGGGTAATGTGGAGACCCGGTCCACCGAAATTCAATAAACTTCCTAATTAAGAATCTCATCTACCGCTCACCTACTTTCCACCTATCGCTCACATACCACATCTCACCTATCGCTCATCTACCTTCCACCTACCACTCTCATGGTTTCTATAAATAGCCTCTTTTGGCGTAAAGGAGAAGCCAAGCCACAAGCCAAGCAAGGCCAAACCAAGTCCTCTTGAGAGCTAAGAGAAAGAGAGGAAGAGAGAGAGAGAGGATGGGAGAGAAGAAAATAGAGATTTTCTTGTAAACGTCGAGGTGTTCGACGGTGTAATTTCTCGAAGAAATAAAATCCTTTGCAGCTCCGTGGAAGTAGGCAAATTTGTCGAACCACGCAAATCTGTGTGTCACTCTAGTGTTTTTCTGCGTGCAATTTTACTCGTTCCATTTTTCGCTTTATTGTCGTCGTTTTTCACAACAACCCTTTCAAGAGTATAATTTTTTCACAATTTTTCTATAAGTGTAAGACCACTTACCAACCTAAGTATTATCGTCCCAACAACTCTTACCAGACCACTTCCACATTTTTGTTTTAAGAGTTTGTACTTCATCATACAATAAAAAATCAATTTCCATTCTCAAAATGGAAATGAACTTTAAACATTTTTTTGATAACATTACGGAACACAATATTTTTTTAAGTGAATCTCCATTTTGGAAATGAAAATTGGATTTCTCATTGGATGATGAAATGATCACTTTTGCTACACCATATGAGATATTTCTTTATCAAACTGTGTTAAAAAATATGAGAATGCTTATGTTTATAATTGAATCTTCACACAGAGATAAAATATGATAGTAATATATTTGAGAGAAGGCCAGTGAAGCTACATCTTCACATATACCGGTCATCTGCACATATAGTATCAGTATCGTCGGCCTATAAACCATTTTTATTCAATCATTTATTAACATTATTAACGAGGAACGTTTCTGTATCTTAATAATAAATTACATCGGTTAAAACCCCACCCATATAGCGGATTCAAAGATAACTGACGAATTATAATCGTCAATTAATATTTACTTATAATCCATGAATTATTGTGTTGGTTTAAATATGCAAGAACAATCGAAAAATTATTAATTGGAATAATTTTTCTGACATAAAAAAACCTTAATTTTTAGAGTTTTTTCCTCTAGCGAGTAACGTGTAGAAATCTTCAAGCTTTTGCATAGGTATAAATCCATTACAGATTATCTTACGTACAGCTTATCTCAAATTAAATATATGATTATGCTTCCATCCTTAAAAAGTAGTCAACTAATACGCTAACCAAAAAGGTCACGTAATAAACTACACCTCCACCCGCAACCACAACAGCAACCAACATAGAGCACCAAAATGCTGTCCATTGACTTCCCATCACCACTTCTATTCATGTTTCACTTGAATCCCCACCACACAAGACATAACAGCTAACTTTACTAATCCTGGTCCGGCAGACCATTTCACCGGCATTTACCGGTCATCTGCACATATATTCATCACACGAAGAACATCCATTTGTTTAATTATATGAAAAGACAATACTAGAAGCCAGTCGATGGAAGGAAGACAAGCAAGAGTAAATTCTGAGAGCTATGAGCTCCAGATCCCTCCATTACCATATCCTCAAGCTCTTAACCGTGTAGATTATCAACAGCCTGATGGCTTAAGCTTTGATGTCTCCTTCAATAAAGTCCACTTTTTTCCTTCTACCACTGTGGGATTTGAAGCTTCTGATTCAGTTGTTCATGGGGAAGCTGCTGGGATGAAGCCCTCTGCTGGTAACGTTGAAAAGGTATGAGCTTTCATGAATATATAGTGTTCTTGTTGATTCTCAGCTGACTTATAATTTAATGATTAGGTTGGGTCCTCAGATCCAAAAGTTGCTAATGATCAGAGTAGTAGTTCATGGTATGAATGCATGACTTAGTTTAAAGATACATTTTTTATCTCATGATTGAGTGGAATGATAAGAGATGATCAGAAGGTTTAATTAATCAGGTGGAAGATGTCAGAGAGGGGAAAGATAAAGATAAGGAGGAAGATGAGGGAGCCGAGGTTCTGCTTTCAAACAAGGAGTGATGTTGATGTGCTAGATGATGGATACAAATGGAGAAAATATGGACAGAAAGTTGTGAAAAATAGTCTGCATCCAAGGTGTGCTTCGTCTTTTCTCTTTCAAACCCTAATTTTGCAGAAGATTTGTTGATTTTAATTATATATATATAGGGCATGAACATTTATTTATTATTTTTGGTATTTATAGAGTTGATGTTTGATGTTAGTTTCTATCTTAGTTTTTTATTTAATTGCGTTTTGTATCACTTGTTTGGCAGATATTACTCCACTGAAAAAATTATTCAGTACTTAAAAAATTATATTTTTGCTAAAAGCAAAAGTTTAGAGGATGATTAACACATTAATTACAACACTGATACTTAAAGTTTGTTTCAAAATAATGCATGAATGTAGTAATAAATAAAATCCACATTTAAATTAAATTTCAAGTAAATTATATTTTCTGCTAATAGCTTCTGATTGAAAAATTAGGGAGTGATTGGTTCCCCATATGAATTCATTGGTCTTATTTCTATTTTCTTGTAGACTATATATACGTCCTAATTACTTTCTCTTTTTCCTATTTATCAGCACTGAATATGTTCATTTTCCAGTAAAGTTTTAATAGTTTATATATATATATATATAGAGAGAGAGAGAGAGAGAGAGAGAGAGAGAGAGATAGATATAGATATAGATATGCATCCCTTTCTCTCTCTCTCTTTCTGTCTCTCTCTCTCTCTCCATAGTGTAAAAAGTTTTGATCTATATTTTTATGTCTCCATATTCTTCAATATTGTCTAATCATATGTTACAAGAATAGTTCAAAATAATGTACATAATGTTCATTAAAAATACATAACACGTACATATATAAGAGAAATATGAACTAGAGTAACAAATAATTTCATCTCAAATTAATGCATGTAAAGCACAGGTGCAATGATGTTTTCTTAAGTTCTCATTCTTTTTTAGGACTTAAATCTTCATGGTTTGAAAAAACTATTTCAAATCATTCTTTGGCAAAAGAGCTCAATGTTGTTCTTAATCATATAGATTTTCAATAATGAAGTTATTGGGATATAACTGCTGACGTTTAATTTAATTTAATTTAATTGCTACACCTTTGACTTTCTTAATTACTGTTTGAGTAATTTGAAACTGAACTTATTTTAGGTTTAAATGATCAAAAGTTTGTAGAGTGGCATATGTGGCCCAATATAAATTATGGGAAAATATTTTGGAGCATCTATGCTCAATTGTTCGTTATCACTATCGATCATCATAGTGAAAAATTACTACGTGCAAACGTCCGGATGTATGAACAATGGTGGATGGCCAGATTACGTCATCATAAATTTGTGTATGTCATGTGACCTTCTCATCCACTGTTATTCGTATTTACAGTGTTCGTGCGCAATAATATTTTTATCATAGCGGTGGAATAGCGGCAGCCATCACCATACGAACTTTTATGATTTAAAAGTCAATTTTATTATATATATATATATATATGATAAAATTTTTATATATATATCATCTTTAAGTTTCTCTTCTCTAGTTGATTATCTTTCTCCTAACAAGACAAATATAAAGCATATTACGCACTCACAATGAATTCTATTCATTCCTCAGTCTTCAATCAGTTTCTGAACATAAAAATGAATTCAAATATGCGTTGCAGAATTATATGTCATTATTCATTGTTAGAATCAACTCATTTTTATTTCTTACTTTTGTTGCTAGATATGATGATGACACTTTATTGTAGGTGTCTATTTTTTACTATGGTGATAATATGGCTTGTTTTGCCTTCTCTATTTTTGTTGACAAAGAACAAAGCTATATTATAAGAGCAATATTATATCATGCATTATCATCTTGATTTTTTTTTTCTGTTAAGGCTGGTGAATGACTAAGTGTTTATGAGTTTATTTGAAATTTGATCAACTAATGACTTTTACATTACATATAAAAATTAATGATTTAGATTAAATTGGAGACAGAGAATCATATATTTATGTTTATAAGTTTAGGCCATTTTAAAGACTGGCTCTTTTGTCAGCAAATCAAGCCATTTTTACTTATAATTATATTCGTGGGTGTGTGTAATTTTCTATTTTTTGCTATGTTGAAATTTGTTGTTGTTTTTGGCTGGTTGTTAAGTCAGAGTTGTAGGTATATATACACGGTGAAATCGAAATTAAAGGATAACAAAGCTTCTTCTCTTAGCTTTAGGTTGTATTTAGGGTGACAGTGCGGTGTCGCATTGTACTTTATGTCTTTTGACAAAATTGTATTTTATTAGTTTTTTTTTTTGTCAAAAAAATATGGAGGGAAACTGTATTTTGCAGCATGACTTAACTAAGTGTATGCCTATCAGAAATTTGTGATTTGATTTTCTGAAAATATATAAAATAAATTTGTAATAGCCACCGCAATATTTGAAGGAATGATTTTTTTTTTTACCACAATTTCACATATACTTCTTCAAATAGTTGCAGCTGCCCCTAACAAATCTTTAGTTTCATCCACCACAAAAATGAAGTTTGTCTTATCCCTCACTTCTATTTAACCATAAGTTTTCAGGGTAATATTCATCTTCATATTTTAAACAAATGGTCTGTTTGGGGCAGCTGCAACTTATTGAATAATTTGCTGATAAGCTGATTAAAAATAATCTGATGATAAGCTAGGTGCGGTGACTATTACAAACAAATTTTACTATTACAAATTTTTATTTTTTTGAAAAAACCAAACCGCTGCGAGAAAGTTATCACCACACATAGATAGATGAGTTGTGAAAACGTTATTTTCGGCATTTTGAAAACACATAAGCTGTCAAAACACGGTTTACCCAAACAAAACAGATGTGTTTTCAAAACGCCACCACACCAAATAAGCTGCCCCAACCGGACCCTAAGTTTTCACTAGAATCAACATGATTCCATAGATTTCCAACCATATACCTAAATTTTTCTTACTTTTATTATTACACTGGAAATTAGGATTAAGCTCTTTTTCTGATAAATATTAAAGAATATTTGATCATTAATCAAATTTGATTAAAAAATGTTAGATAATTTTGTAATATCCCTTGATAGAAATACCACTTCTTTAAATTTTCTTAAAGTCAAGCTAATTTAAATTATTTTAGATGACATTATACATGTGCAAACATTTTAACTTGTGTTCAACATATACTTATTCACCATGAACTTGATGATCAATTATTTTAGAAGTTCAAAATTACATAGATGTAATTAAAATGTCATTTAGATTACCAAAGATTTGCATACATACCACTCGATTCTTGCTTATCTAGCACCTGTAAAAAGCCCAATGTTTATATATCAAGTTCCGATATTTGTATACATGGGTCTCCTTTGCATTAAATTTAGATGCATAACTCAATTATTTATAGATATCATGAAATAAAGTTACTAATATTAATTGAAATATCATTTGTTAATAATAATTCAAGCGGCATCATCTATAGCCTCTCAATAAGACTGGCATGAGTGTCCAAGGCCTTATTAAGATTGAGTATTTGCATAATACTTAAATGATTAATTCATATAAATCTCCAATTACCAGTTCAATTTTTCTTAACTTGTTTTAGTAAACTTTTCTATAGTTTAAAATCATTTTAAATTTGGAATATTTACATTCTTACTCTTGGGATAGAAACTTGGGCATCAATTGATTTACTATTAAAATCGTACCATGGAATAAAAGATCACATGATTCAATAATTCAAAACAAAATATTGAATACTTCTTTGTTGGGACAAACATGAAAAAAAAACACAGAAAATCATGACTATTCCCTTCTACAACACAGAAACACTTGGAGCTTTGGTCATGATACTCACCCCCATTATATGATCTCAGACACTTTAACCTCAAGTTTGTCTCACTTTCCACTTCTTAAACATTTTAATAGAACATTTATGCTTTAAAAAGTAAACCCATATCTTTTTAGTGTGCCACTCAATGAAATTGATAAAACAGTGGGAACTTCTAATGGACTGAACTAGAGTAGAACCTCATACATTAATATGCACTAACTTCATTTTTTTGAGTTCACATTGACCCAAATCTTGAGAAAGAAACTTTTTTTTTGCTTATCATATATATAATCTTCTCAGAACTTTAAATTCACATATTTCAAACTATGATGCTTATTCTTTGAAAGCAGGAATTTCATACCTTTCTTACTCATATGGTCAAGCCCGTGGTTTGAAAACCCTGTGTCAACCTTGATTCCAACCACAATAATTGATTTTTTCATCTCAATGATCAGATAAAGAGTGCTTTCAATATTATCTCGAGGCATCGTCATGTCCTCTAGCCAACTTTCATGAATCACCTTTGAAATAACTCACATGTCCTAACGTTATCAGCTGGCTCACCAAGGTTAGATTTTCTTAAACTTGGAACATGTTTTGCTTCATTGATCTTTTAAACTATTTTATTTGGAAACTTGATATCGATATCACCATTTCCTATAGTAATGTAGGCTTTATTATCTCCCAAATAAATCTTTTCTAAATCAATACGCCTGTAATTTTTAAACACCACTTTGTTGGGACAAACATGAAAAAAACACCTGAATCTACTATCTAAGATTCAATACTGACTAGGGGTAAAACTAGGGAGTCGCCTTAGATTTCGTCCGTGAAGAAATTTGTACAAAGATTCATATCTTAGCCTCCACCATCAATATTCACCTTTCTCATTTCCTTTTCTTGACCTAAAGTTTCCTCTTATGGACTTGGTCAATCTTTTTTTGCATGTATTCATGTATAAATTTGTTTACATGCTTTCAAAATTCAACCCATAACTTGAATATTCATCATTTGTTGTTTATCTGCAAAATTCATCATTCAACACTAACCATACGATGTCATCGAAGTTCAACACCTTCATATTACTTGAAAAGCTATTCATCGTTGTGACAAATCCATCATAGTTATTCGATAATGAAGTCAAAATTAACATTGATCTGACTTCATTATCAAATTTGATATCTATAGAACACAACTTGCTAATAACAATATTGAAATTATACAAGTGTTCTACCACAGAACAATCTTCCAAATCTTCATGTTAAATAACACTTTATTAGAAAAATCTTATTTAAAACAGAAGATTTCTCATACATCCTTGATTGTTCCACGATGAGATCCATCATATTTTTCTCATTCACTATGTTAAATGAAACAAAACAGAAAAGTGAAAGATAAATCAAGCATAGGGTTTTTTGATCCTGCATTTATCATTATTCCAGAGTCATCGATTTGAGCTTCTTGGTGATTCCTTCTAGAAGTAGATATATATATATATATATATATATAAATCTTCCACTTACATTTTCCAGAATGTAAAGATCAATCCATTAAAATTCTCCACCATGTACATCTCTTTATCGATCATTGCTCCAACTTGAATAAAAATTCTTCAGAAAAGAAACCCGCTCTAATATCACTTACTGGGATGAAAACTTGGGCTTTGATTGATTTACAATCAAAATCACACTGTAGAAAAACGATCGCATTGATTTTAAAATTCTGGAATAAAATATCAAACAGAAACAAACAACAAATTAATCACATAAAAATGCACCAAAATTTAACATGGAGAAACGAGAAAACGGGAAAAAAAATCAGAGTCATGACACAAATAAATTTTCAATATGAAAGAAGAAATGTACATAAATTAACACCACTCGAATCTTCTCTCTACACCAATGGAACTTACAACAATTCCACTCCAATTCATTTTTCGATTGCACTAGAGAAATCACACCACCGAAATCCACTTCTCGAACTTCATGGCTCCACACAAAAGCCCCTCTAAAGTTCACCACACGCAAGATAAAGTTCTTTCGATCCTTCACAAAACAACAGCTTAAATCCCAAACAATGTACAAATCACCCCTAATGCCTAAAAGATGCTTAATTCATTTCCACTCGCTCAGGTTAAAGTCATGAATCCAGGCGTCGCCGAGCACCTTGAATGGGGGCCTGGACACCGATATCTTTGGATCCAGGTGCGTAGGCACCTGAAATGGGCTCTTGGGTCCCACCCCCATGTATCCAGATGTTGATGCGCCCCCCAACCTGGCGCCTTGGCACCACTATGCTTTAGGCGCCCCTAGGGCATTCGAGCTCCCTTTCTGATCCTGGCGCTGCAACTCTTTGCTTTCAATCAGGCTCCACACCTTACATTTTCCACTCAATTTTTATGTTTTTACATATCTAACGCCTAAATTTCAGTTTTTACATATATGTCCTTTTATCCATGCATGAAAAAGTCTTATACCACTTTTTCAAAGCCAAAATAATCATATTTTGCACCTAATATAACAAAAAAATTGAGGGATACAAATGTAAAAAAGGTAAATTTTAGCTGTTAGATATGTAAATACAAAGGAGTTGGGAGGCATGCATGTATGTAAATGCCGCTTTACATTTAAATATGAATTTGTCTTGTTTTGACAGGAGTTATTATCGTTGCACACATAACAACTGCCGAGTGAAGAAAAGAGTTGAGCGTTTATCAGAAGACTGTCGAATGGTGATCACAACATATGAAGGAAGACACACGCACTCTCCATGCGACGACCACAACTCACCTGAGAGCGAATGCTTCAAAGCATTCTGATTAATTATTAATCTCTTACGGATTATCAATTTTTATGTTTTTAATTCTCTATAAAAAAAATACTTGTTGTATATTCTTTTAAGCCTTTGATTAATGGCAAATATGTATTTATGTTCTCCTACCTTGCATTTTAATGCATGTCAAGGTTTGCTTCTCCTCTTCTACTACGTGGAGAGTCCTAGTTTTAAATTTGAGTACAAACTCAATATATTTTTTTAAAATTTAATGCTATTTAAATTGCATATATACTACAAAATTTTTTATGTATATACATATCTAATATCTGAACTTTAATATGTATATATATATATATATATATATCAGCCTTCATATGCATGAGAAGATACATTTCGTTTTTTTATAAGTTAAAATTGGGATATTTTTGTTATTTTGTGAAAGATGGGTGGTATGAATGTAGAAAAATAAAGATTAGGCGTTCAAAATGTATATACAAAATGTATATACATAATACTTGGGTGGTAGGTATGCCAATGCCTTACATCTATAACACATTGATTTTATAAACCTATTCAAGAGAAGTTTACATTAGACTTTGAAAATGATGGTAAAAATAGTATCTTCTTATGTGATGGTAAGAATTTAAGTGCTGTGAATGTAGATATTAAAAGTGAAAGAAAATATTAAAGATTAGGCGTTAAATATGTAAATACATAAGAATTGTATGGTATATAAATAAATATCTTATTAATGTTAAAATAATGATATCTTAGATATGCTATTAAAGTTATGGTTTATATAAATATAAGAAAAAAAAAATAGATATTAGATATGTAAATTTATAAGAATTGGTTGATATGAATGCGAAATACCTTCAAATTTTAGAAGAGAAAATTTAGATGTTAGGTATTTAAAGGCATAAAAATTGAATAGTATCTATGTAAAACTCCATAACAGAGGGGATTTACAACTGACATGTAGATGCCCGAGATATATACATATATAGATATGTAGATATATATATATAGATATGTAGATATATATAGATATGTAGATATGTAGATATATATAGATATGTAGATATATACATACATACATACATACATATATATATAT